TTTTTCAGAATAACTCAGATTAAATAAAGAACTGGAACATTGAACATATCCCAAGAGGGAAGGGCGGACTTTTGTACTTGAAGTAACTTTGACTACTTTAAAGTACTTTAAGCTACTTTGAAGTACTTTACGCTACTTTACGCTACTTTACGCTACTTTAAACTACTTTAGACTACTTTTGTACTTTGATGTACTTCTCGACTTGAAGTACGCCGTTTCCCCCTTGTATATGTCACATTATAATTCGCATCCTATCAGCGAACAGGTTTTGGACAAAGAGCCCTTTTGATTTGTCTATAATCATTCTATTAGGGATGGTATCGACGTCTAAATAGAGTATTTTGTGGAGACGTACCGAGTAACGTTGCCAGTAAAAAATCGATGCCCATGTGTGAGGGATGAAGTCTTTTATCTTCTGATAAATGCACAAAAGATAATATTTATATTGCAGCAGGCCAACTACAAGAATTACTAGTCTTGTTCATGTACTTTTTTAGTAGAACATCTTGCTTTTGAAGATTAGATAAAAAGAAAAAAAGTGTGGTTGAGAGGCCTTTTGATAGAGATCCTTTGAATAAAACAAAGAGCAAACAGATAAGATGTTGGTCTCATTCGCAAAGATGAATACCATAGAGTGTATATGGATGTTCCTTCTCGTTCTTTTTACATTCAGCGATGCTTACAATTCTTCGACATCAAAGAATGCTGATCCTATTGTCATCGAAGTGAATTGGTCAGCACAGGATTACCTTCTACATACAACACCAAGTCTGCAGATTGTCACGAACCCACTAGTATCAAGACAATTTTCGCCTATCAGCAAACGAATATTTGCCAACTTAGCACAACTCAATGCTGAATATACGCGGTATGCTGCTTGGTATCCCTATCCAAAAATGGCCGTTGCCGAATTGGATCCACCATCTGGTTTGTTGCAATGCGGCAATGTTGGTGAAGGCTTTTCCGTACATCTATCATGCCAACAAAATGGTGGTATCATTCATTCCGTTGATTTCGCTTCATACGGAACAGCGATGGGTGCATGTGGTCAGATGAAGCAGGGATCTTGTCATTCAAACAAAAGTTTAGATATTGTTGAGCAAGCATGTCTGGGCAAAGAAGAATGCAGCGTGCCGGCATCATATGAAATCTTCGGAGATCCTTGTGAGTCTGCTTATTTCATCAACCGAACGCATAAAAAATATATTCTCGAAAAATAGTGATCGTTTCTCAATTTTTCACAAGACTTATGTTCTTTACTTCTCTGTTAACAGGCAGGCATCCAACAACCAGAGAGAAGGCGTAGGGTTTCTCTGCAAAAATGGACATATGTAGTATTCTTGCTCATCATAAGAGAGAACACTATTCTTTTACTCCAAGTTTTACTAAAAGATTTTCGCTTAGCCGCTCCCTTCTTTAAAATGTCGATTACCGTCAGCTATCTACAGGTTCTTGTCCTAGACCAGAAAAATTGGATTACTGGTTTATAAAAAAAAAGTGTTTGTTGTCCCATAATATTCAGGCCTCATATTTGCATCTGTCTGTCTATGATTCTGAAATACCTTTATATGCTTTTTTCTTCTTGAGTGCTCGTAGAAAATGAAAAATCATGCTGTAAGATCTTTCTATTTTAGGCTTCGGTACTCACAAGAGATTACTCGTTCAAATTCAATGTAATCCTCCACAAAATAATAGTTACTGGAATTTCATCTATCTCGATCCGACGTTACAAGATTTTCTTCAAGCGACCAATGGTCATTCCCGTATTGTCATGTTTTCGACACAACCTGTGTGGCTATTTAAACTTAATCAACCGCATATCTATCCAGACAACGCTACACAAACAGATTGGGGATATCCAGAAGGATCACAGTTAGTCGACGATACCATGCAAGCACTTGGCGACTATTATGGTCGTCTGACGGCGTGGTATACTCGAGGTGGTTTCGTTGACGAATATGGTCGAAAACAATTATCGAACTATACATACAACTGGGATTACACTGAAATATTTAACGAAATTGAATTTGAGCATAAAATGACACCTGAATTTTATACTCGTGCTTATGATGCCGTGATTCAAGGTATTCGGCGACATACAAATAATACTGAGATGAAATATGTTGGAATGGCACTTGGCGGTATGTTTCAAGGCGAATTCTACAAAATTCTATAGGAAAGTTAATGCCACCAGCTGGGTTTTTCTTCTCAAACTATGACAGCTAGAATGACCGCTTTTATGTAAGAATATTTACTAGTCATACTTTTACAAAACGGTCTCTCTTATTGATAGGAAATCTTTATTTATCTATCCACTATCACAACTGCTTAAGAACCTGATTTAAATAAGTTTCTCGGTTGCTTTGAATTGTGGTACAAGCGTAGCTTTTATCACCTCCTATATCTGATGCGAATAAGATTCTTTCATTTTCTATCACGAAAACCGTAAGCGTATACTGATTTGATTTTAGCCGATAAACGGCAGAGATTAGTTGAAAATAAAAGCATTATTCGATCTATATCTTCCAGATTGATGATTCTGACAACTCTAAATGACAGTATTCTACTGTGTTGTATACGGTGAAATATAAACATAGGATACACCTAGAACTGCACCGAGATAGGATGGTAGTTATGCGGATTCGACAAGAAACAGCCACATCTACGGCAGTATATCGATGTGTACCATCGTCAAACTTTGAAAAATTGGTTTATTGACACCGACTAGGTCTCTTCTCAACGTCAAAACTCCCTCTTTCCTTCTCAAACATCTTTAAAAGACTTTCTCATCAACAAATCGTTTTTCAATTCAGAAATCAGGTGGAATATAGATGTTGACTACCTGTGAGGCTTTGCCATGCCTTTCTGTATTATAATCAGTTGTTCGGATGACGAAAGCACTTTATTCCAACATTTTACAAAACAAAAATCAGGAAAAGCCCTTTATATGTCTATTAAGAAAAAAAAATTGGGGGCAGAAACCATCCGAAATAAATGTGTTCACTATTTAAACGGTTTTTCAAAAGGTTTTTAAATTAAAATTTGTATATTGGGTGGAGATATCAACTCATTCGAAAATTTTTGAAAATACGCACTGTAAACGCAAAAAGAACCTCAAACGGCAGTCTTCCATGTAAAGGTTCATTACATTTGTGTTCTATTGTTACTGTAGCTTTCAATCAATAAATTTTACTTACTTTGCACCTTGAGGGGCACCGACTGTTTTTGATTAAAGTTTATTATGAAAAATCTTCAAAATAAAGTTCCCAAAATAAATTTTCTGGCAATTAAGAGTAATAGGAAAATTTTCAGTGATGACTTGAGATTAGACGTCTTAAGAAGCATCGATTTTATCTGTGCCTATGTGTTATATGTGAGCAGTTCACATACACCTATAATGGAACATGATCAAGACCTGATGAAAAAATGTTTTCAGCAAGAAAAGATTTTCATGGATTTTTTGTTATCTGGTGATAAATGTTTTAGCTGTTAAGATGTAGCTTCATCTGTATGCATGTTTTTATCGTCTAATTCATGTTTAATGTGATGAAAAGACACTTTAATAAGGGGTGCTGTGGTTTGTAGGTAATAGATCTTGTTTTCAGTATTTTGAAGGCTAGTTACGCGAACTGGTGTGGGTATCAAAATGAAATGAACCATGTGGTGGCAATCACCTATATATAGAGACAGTGGTATCAATTCTGAGAGAAGAAGTCCGTCTCCTGTGCTTGACGTTTTTAATATATGTAACTTATCAACTCCTAATCGGAGCTGCTACTGGCAGAACCTGAGATTCTAGTAGTGTTGCCTGAGATGATTAAGGAGGAACATAGCAATTTGAAAAAGTGAAATCAGTTTGAAACCAATTGAAATTACACAAAATCACCAGATATAGCTTTTAAATCTTCAGAATTAAGAAATCACTTTGTTCCACCTTGGGAATGTTAGTAACATAAACTGGATAGCAAATAATCTCAGAGGGGATGCTAATGCCATTGCTTAAGATACTATAGGCGTCTTGTTCACGTAGACTGGCAATTGGAAACTGAGTACATGTATTGAAATAACAATAATGGAAATATAAGTCTAACGCGTTTTGTTAATCAAGCCATATGAACTTAGTGTTTAAGTGGTACATCTAAATGGGAAATAATGATAGAAAGATTGAAATGTTAGGATTTTGCGATGTTAGTACTAATTACAATTGGGTACCACTGGAAGTTAATGAGAGTTCACAGTCGAGCACAATGGAAAACTATGAGTGTTGAATCAACGTTTTATAACTGAAATATACGATGGCTTAGAATTTAGTCCTAATATCGGTTATGACGGCCTTTTTCTGACGTAACTATTGAGCTGAGTTGTAAGAAGCAGTCTAACTGTCTTTGATATCCCCTATTTTTCTGCTCTGCAATATTTTACATTAAATTTATTATCAAATACAGGCATCATTTTAAGTGTTCTATTTTAGTATGATTTATAAGCGCGATTCGATTCAATTAAGCACTGTATACGCTTTTTCATACTATGAACTAATGTCACAGCTAAATCAATCGACAGATCGTTCCACGTCGTTTTTATTTCTTGTTGGAATTCACGCATTGCTTGAATTTTTTTTTACTTATTATATTCTTCCTAATCGATCAGACGTTTTCAATTGAGTTTTTCTCTGGTGATGCACAAGGCCATGGCAGAACTTAGCCAACTGGTAGTGCCTTCAGGAAATTGATCTTCAGCAGTAGGTCGAAGATCCTTTTCGTATAGATCGCACATTAAATCGCTTGTCGAGTTCTTCTCGTAGACAATTAGTCGAACGAAAAGATCTCTTGAAAAGCAGCCCCATACATGTAACTTGAGAGGTGCTTAACTGTACGAACGATCTTGCTAATACCTAGAAACCGCCAAACTTTTCTTCTGCTATTGCCAAGTTTAAAAGCATTCTCATCGGAAAAAATCACATTGTCCCAGTTGTAATTGTTTTGCTGTTGTGCTCGCAGGAATCACTTCTCACGATGAACTTCCTTAAGTGGGCGGTTTGTTTTTAAAGTGGATCATAATTCTCACCACTCTCCTATAAACGACGTCTTATAGTACATGCATTAGCATCAACACCGTCTTTCTTGAAAGTGTTGGAGATTTCGTTTGTCGTAGCATTCTGCACATGTTTGACAATTTTGACGATTTTTGAATCAGTTTTGTCCGATGTAGCACGTGGTCAACCAGTTCATGGTTAATCAGACAGATCTTCATTCTTCTGTCATCAACCAAGCCAATATCGTACGACCTTTGGTTGACATGTGAGGAGTCAACAGATGAAGTTTAAGTAATATGATTTCATAACTTTGCGATAAAGAAAGAGACAAAAAAATGATGCTTCAATATTCATCAATACTTTATAGATCAGTGTTTATTTCATATAATTGGATTATTTCTATTAGCATCTAAGACAAAAGAGAGGAAAACAACTTTTATAAAGGATGTATCTCCACTCGATAATAAGTTTCATGCGAAATATAGTTGTATAAAAACAACAAGAAGAGCGATGAGGGCGGGAAGACTTTTGTCCAGGAATGTACATTAGAGATCCTAGGAGCTTGAATTGTTTAGTATTTTCTTTTAGAATTCTTTTTGCATCTTCTATCATGTTCTGAACGTAAAATCGAATTTTTTCGGTACATTTAAACAATCATAATGGACAAAAAAGAATGTAGGAATTACTTGCTTTCTAAAAAATGCTACTGAATGTCTAAGAGAGTCCCTGATGTATCATGTAACTTTGTCAATTCTCGTATTAGTTTTCATCTAAGATTGTGCATTCGATGAGTGTTGGTCAAGGGGGAAAAAGCGAGACTTTCGGAGCGCTTACTTCACTCGTACGTCAGAAGTACTGAAGTCTCGCTTTTTCTCCCTTGAATATTTTCGCTGATTCCATCAGTCTTTTGACGTAGTTGTCATGCTTGGAAATGGGGACACAGCTATGTCTCCATGTCTGTCATGCCCTATGATCTGAGAACTGGTGAATTCTTTTTTTCCTGTATTTTTCAACATTAACTAAAAATCTTGTCTCACAAAATATGAAAATATTATGAAAGTACTGTTTGGATCTATTTCTCTCTTTTATATACCTAGGCCATTATGAATTCGATTGGTACCACTATTTCCTGAATCATTCCAATCATGCACCTGATATCCCACTGGATATGATTTCTTATCACTTTTATGCTTCCAGCAAGTCAAGAACGGATCCCGTTGATTATGAAGCATTTTTTCCTCAGCTTGACACTTTTACAGATGAAGTCAAACAAATCGAACAAATTCGAAAAGCTCTTTCGCCTGAAACAAAAACCACCATCGATGAACTGGGAATTATTCTCCCTAACGATAATGATATAGATGCACCTCAATTTCCATTGATCTACTGGAATGCAGGTGGAGCTTACTATGCTTATGCATGGGCAAAAATATCTCGACAAGGTATCGATGTTGTAGGTCACAGTCAATTAGTCGGTAAGTATTTTTCACTAAACTTCAGGATTGAATCTTCAGTTCGCAATATTCTGAGATTTGTCGTTTACTAGGCTACCCAAATTTACCTGATCTTCAACTTTCACCACAGTTTCCTAGTGTCTCTATGTTAAACTGGACCACGGGTGCAGGAACAGCTAAATATTGGACTTCAAAATTACTGATCGATACAGCTGATATCGACAATGATGAAGCGGTAATTACACAAACCACTGATATGGGTGAAAAAAGCATATTTAGTCAAGCATTTGTGGGTAAGAATGGTAGAAGATGGGTATTGATTGTCAACAAACGATTTACTGACATCGTGGTAAAATTACCTGACTCTACCGGTGGTACGTTGCAACTCATCAATGAAGCATCTGGTTTTGGCCCTCCTATACAGACAGCACTGACATCGGACCAGATTGACTTGAGTCCGTTTGCTGTGGCCGTTATTCATATGCCTCATGCAGAACTCAAGCCTTGAAAGAAGCTTTGTATTGCTATAGAATTGATATAATTCACTTTTTGTAGAATGATCAATAAAAGCCAATTGACTTTGAGAGATTTCATGATTCGAATAGATTTTAAGAAAACGAACCTGCATGGGATAAATGTACACATATACTTATATGATGCAGACGTGCAGTATCTACCGACTCTTCTTAGAACCCATAGACAAATCGACAAAGTTGTTCGAGCAATAAACCTTTCAAACAGTTCGTCTTTTGAGTTTTCAAGCACTTGTTGATGTACTAACAGGGTGTGGGTGTGGATATAAGTCTGAAGATCTACATTCTCTCATACCCTTGCTAACATGTATAATAGACAGATACATAAAACAGACTGTTTCGCATTCGCAATGAGAAAAGCAATTGACTGCTGCATGCTGTCCAAAAGATTTTCAAACTTTCATTAATCTTCAACCGATGTATTCCAACAGTGGAGTGTTCGATCTGAACCTCACGACTACTTATATGGTTTACTATGTTGATCATTCTATGACTTTTCAAACAAATAAATAAGCAGTTTTAGGAATGTACTTCTATAAAAGGCTCTATTGATGCTACACGTTTATTTTTCTTTGTGTGAAAGTAAAAATTTGTTGATTTTAAATATAACTTGACATTTTATTGGGAGCGATTTCATCCACCGCCACCCCACCCCCTCTACCGCATTATTTAGATTCAATGGAAGCTTCTTATATCCTGATATTGAGACAATCACGGCCCATGAACTAACGTTTTCCCATGTGTTCAACTTAGTGATCTCAATATTCTTGCCCTAGTCTGTGTTATAAGCGGTCTTTCGGTAAGCATCATCATGATCGAGAACAAGATCACATAGAGATTTTGAAGCCAGGCATAATGGGATGATTCTCTCATATGGGTATGCCAGATCAAATCTATTTCAAAGGTTGGTGCAATCAACTGTTCTTTACTAGCAAATTTCATAAATGAAACATAATTTTGTACCATTTCGTTGAACAAGTTTCGATCCATTTTTCATAAACTCATTGAAACGAAACGATGCTTCCTGAATTTTTCAAGACAGTCAGTTTGACGAACAGCACTACTTGTCAAATCGATAGAAGAAGTAAATTTTATTTCGTCATTCGTTGATTGACATTTACGATGTCATGTTAGATCAAGTATGCGATATCAATAATACATCGGTTTTCAATCGAAAGGCACATTCTTGTTATCTCTATCAAATGCGATAGGATGTAGACAATGAACATGCCAAAGCCAGTGGACTTGTAAAGGCAAAAAAGGAATGCAGCAAAGCTATGAGATATAAAATAACATTTTATGCGCGTGCAATAACCTTCGATTGCTCTATCCAGTGGTTTTCCTGTCGGCGTCATCTCTGGATGTGCAATTACTTTGCGCAATAAGCGAACATGTTCAAATAGGTTGTGAAAACCGATAGAGAACGTATTGATGTCAATTGCCTGAATATGGACCGCATGAAACGGAAACATTAAAGCAGCAATTAAAAGTCATATTTCTTGTAAGATGTTTGATAAAATTTAATCTTGAAAAAATGCATCATAGCATGAGATCACCCTCATGGCAAAATAGAGGATGATCCTAATGTGCACGAGATGCTGGACAGAGTTTCAATTTTTGATTGTTTTTCGTGCACGCTTCATAGACCGTCATCTATGACTAACAACCTCAAACACTTAATTCATTTGGATTTACTACCGAAAAGTTGGTCAATATGGGTTCTTGGCTCTACCATACCTTTATTATGAAAAAAAACAGAAGTCACCTCACAAACATTATTGTAATTTGCCGTTTCAGCATATAATTTAGATCTATAATCAAATACAGCACAAGATAAAGAATCAAAACTGAACAGAATGCACTGTTTGGCTAGCATATAATATCTATGGTTGCCATTTTCATATGACTAACATGACTCGAAGACGCCTTCATTCTTCAGTTAAAAACAATATGGGTTGCGTGTGAAACGTGATTGTTGTAAAAGGGAGATACAAGAAAAATATTACTCACTTGCATCCAAACCTATCTAGCGCGAAACTTTTGATTAAAGCATAGTTAAAGGATGATAGTTTAGTGATTTTCATGGAGGAAGCTAATAACGGGTGTCCCAGAATAAATTATACCATTCGTATTTTGAGTATAACTCTTCTATTATCCATTAGATCGGGACATCTTTTTATACTAAAAGATAGCGCTTG